TGCCCCTATATTATTTTACTTTAGATATTATTTTGGCTTCTAGTGTGATGAATGGTTTCCTGTTATGCATGAGAGCTGCGATTTAATTTCACAGAAGCATCTGTACTAAATTTGGAGTGATACATTCGATGCTGGTGTTTCATATTTTAGTAGGCTCTATATTTGGAAGTGCTATTATAGTGTTAGGTCACAGTGTGTGTGTATTTTGAACAGCTTGTGGATGGAATTTGAAATGGAACATAAATCATTTTGGTTTTGATTAGTTCTAATATTTAAATTTTTACAAGGCAATTCAGGTTTGAAGACAAAAAAAAATATTGTTATCTTTTCTATGTTTCACATATATCTTTATTTTTATGCTCTGTATTTTTTTTGATGCACATGCCCACACAAGATGTTTGTTCATCTTATAGAAATATCATTGTACTCTATAAATTATTTTGCAGTTTGACATTTTAGTCTCATTATATGCCTTGGGCTTTCCCTATATATTTCACATGAAGTTATCTTAATTTTTAATGGCTGCATTTCATTATAATTCATTTCTTTGATTTCTTATTGATGGACTCTTTTTGCTATTAAAACTGTGATAAATGTCCTTGTAAATATAATCTGTATACTTGTACAAATCTTATGTGTGAGATAAGTTCCAAAAAATAAAATTTCTGGGTATAAAGTTTGCCCACTTAGTATTTCAATAATTAACCTTTCCACTAACAGTGTGTTAGAGAACCTGTTTCCCCAAACTCTTACCTATAGAATGTATTGTTTTATTTAATTTTGTCAACCTGATACATGAAAAATAATAATTCCAATGGCTTAATTTGTGTTTTTTTATTATTAAAATATTTTTACTCAGAATCTCTCAGTTAGAGGCATTTTGGAAACAATATTAAATAACATTGTTGACATTAAGTGGCCTTATTTGTCTTTGACTCTTATGGGAATACTTCTATATATGACTATTAGGTATGCATTTTTGAAATGTCCCAAAACTGGCTATGAGATATTTTTCTTTCAATGGACTGTTTTGTCCTATTAATATTTTGTTTAAGATTTTGCATTGGCATTTATAAGAGAATTTATTTTTGTAGTATCTTTGCCACTTTTTGATGTCTGTGTTATGGTGATTTTAGGAACTTTTTTCATTGTCATTTCTTAGAAACATTTTAGGTAGTATCAAAGGTATTTAATGCATAAATGTTTGGAATTATTCATTAGCAAAACATTTTGAGCTTTGTATCTTATTAGAGATATTTTGATAATTGGTTCATGATAATCATGTAGTTCATGGTTATTGGTAATTTGCTGTCTGTTAATGTGAGGATTCAGTTAGGGAAATAGAACCTACACCAGGTAGGTTGCTTTATTTCTTTTCTTCATTTCTTTCTTTCAATAGAGAGGATTTGGTTTAGAGAAATATGTTTAAAAGTTTGGGGTAGGGAGGATGGGCAAAATACGTGAAGGAAATTAAGAGGTACAAACTTCTAGTTATAAAATATATAAGTCATGGGGATTTAAAATACAGCATAGGGAATATAGTCAGTAATGTAACTGATAACCTTGTATGGTGACAGATGGAAACTACACTTGTGGGAGCATGTCTTAATGTATTATATATCTATGTTATATATCTGAAACTTATATGTCAACTATATGTCAATTAAACATAACAACTATTTAAAAAATAAACTAATGAAAGACAGGTAGGAGAAAAACATTTTTTTCTCAAAAATTTTAGAATTTTGTCTTAATCTTTGGTGTTTCTCATTTCTTAGACTTAATTTTAGATACTTTATTTTCTTTTTTCCCATTATTGTCAGCTCTCCCTTTTAATGTTATTAACATTTTTTTTCTCTGATTGTTTTTATTTTTGACTAATTAATAAATACTTTTTTTTTCAATTCCCTCTTTGTAGTTTCCTTAGATTTTACATTGTTCTTCCTTTCCCAGCTTCTAAAATTGAATGTTTAATAAATTTATTTTTATTTTTTCTTACTTAGAAATGGAAGTGTAAAGACTGTGAATCTTGCAGCAAATTGAGCTCTATATCATTGATTTTGATAGTATATTACTTACTGTTATTTTCTAGGTCTTAGATTAGTTTTAAAAATGTTACTGTTTAGCCTATGCTATTTTTAGGCATGTTTAACTTTTTTCTTAAAAAGTTCTGTCTATTATTTTTTTCCTTAATTTTTTCCTTGTAAGAGGCAAGCTAGACAGTATAGTTAGTATGAACTATTTTCTGTTTTTGAAGAAATTTATAAAATTTTTTTGTAGCCCAGTATTACCTTAATTTTAAAAATATTCCATAGATTCTTTAAAAATAGGAATTTCCTATACCTATAGTATATAGATTTTTATATATAACAACAAATAAAACATATTCATTATTAAATTACTTAATCAGATATTCTGTATTACTTATTTTTTAAATTTATTTGCCACAGGTAGAGATGATTTAATTCTCCCAACTACTTTTGCTTTCTCATTTCATTTTCCACTGTTTTGCTTTGTGTGTTTTGATGTACTGTTTTCTGGAATGAAAAGATTCATGGTAGTTATATACTCATTGTAATGATATTCTTTTACGTCATAATGTGCCCTTATTTGTTTTGTATTTTGTGTCTAGAATTCAATTTTAAATCATTTGAACATAATGACTACTGAATCTTATTGTTCACATTTTTCTGGGGGATTTTTACTTGTCTTTTTGTTGTATGTTATTTTATTTTACTGATGTTACTTATTTATTGCCATAGTGAAATTTCCCACCTCTGATTTGATAATGTTTTCCTTTTTTTTTTTTTTTTAAGGTTTTATTTATTTATTTATTTGACAGAGAGAGAGAGACATAGCGAGAGAGGGAATACAAGCAGGGGGAGTGGGAGAGGGAGAAGCAGGCCTCCCGCGGAGCAGGGAGCCCGATGCGGGCCTCGATCCCAGGACCCTGGGATCATGACCTGAGCCAAAGGCAGACGCTTAACGACTGAGCCACCCAGGCACCCCATGTTTTCCTTTTCATAGATGTTTAACAGATGTGTTTAGTATAATTTTTATTCTGCAACTTATTTTTAATTGTTAGTAATTTTTTTCTTTTGTTTTCCTTTTTTTTTAATGGACAGTGTTAACTTTTCTCAAAAATTACTTTTGATAATTTAGAAGGTCTGTATTATATGTTTTTTTCTAAACATTCACTTAACTGTTTAAGTTTTGAAACTTAAGAATTTTATACTTAAGTCTATATTTCTTTATTTACAAACTTTAGAAATAAAGCTGTCTATTGACTCTTCTATTTGAAAAGTTAGGAAATGGACACAATTACACTTTTCTTGCTATAGAATGTTTTCCCGATGTTGTGTTTTTTAGAGGGATATATAAATATATATAAAATATAAAATGAAAAAGACAAAGCTATAAGAATTATTAGGACATTTTGTTTGTTTTTAATCCATGTTGTATAGTTTTGTTTTTCACTGTTTTCGTCTTGGTTAAATTTTATATTTTAATTAATTCATTTTTAGAAGATTTTATTTATTTGAGAGAGAGAACATGAGTGGGGTGGGAGGGGCACAGGGGGAGGGAGAAGCAGGCTCCCAGCTGAGCAGGGAGCTTGATGTGGGGGCTCCATCCCAGGACCTGGGGATCATGACCTGAGCCTAAGGCAGATGCTTAATGACTGAGCCACCCAGGTGACCCTAAATTTTATATTTTAATGAAATATAAGTTTTAAATTGCTTTGTGATATCTAGAGCATATTAGTAGTTAGATTTTTGAATTTGAAAGTAAATATGATGAATTCATAGGCCACATTTTATTCAGTGTTCATAATAGCATTTCACAGCTACAAATGGCCTTTCTCCCTAAACAAATGTCCTGGAAGGTTAACTTTAAAAAAAATGTATGTTACAGTGTATCAGAAACCAGATTATCAAGTTAGACCCTGGTGACTTCTGACTATGACTAAGAATTTGCTTCTTTTATGCTATTATTTTGGTTTAGGTGCTTATTCAGTTCTAATTTAGGATTATATTGGAACATTAACAATGAAGAATAATTCTGTTCATTCATAGATCAAAAGTAATAGCATAAAAAATTATTCCAATCTTCAGTAAATATCTGAAATCATACCTTGTCTATTTTTTAATCTTTAACATGGATCTTACTTGACCATGATAAATCTGCAACAGTTGTTTCTGAATAGAATTTTGAAGACCTATAGTGAAGAGTATTCCTCAGTTACTTTTTTTAGTATCTAGAAACTAGAATGTCTAATAACAAATGACTTGTTCTTCCAGCAGTATCCATATGCCCACTTGTTCCCAAACCCACCATTACATGTTTCTGCTTTAAAGAAATGTGTTGTGCTGGAAAAACCATTGAGAGCTAATGGTATTTACTAAGAAATGAGAATAGATAGGAATCCAGAGACTACCAGTATTTAAGACATAAGCAGCAAAGAGAAAGCAGGTACAAAGATTGAGAAGGGATTTTTAGGAAGAGGAGAAGACAAATTGGTATGTTGGAATATGAGAAGCCATGCAAACCAAAAAAGAAGAGTTTTAGGAAGAAGTGAGTCAGCAGGATCAGATCAAATGCTAAGAATAAAGATGGTTACATTTCTGTTGCATTTTGACCATTAGGAAATGGTGACCTTACTGAGGCAGTAGCATGGTGTAGGCAGAAGCATTATATCAATGTATTGACATACAGACAAGAAGTGGTAAAATGATGACTGCAAGTGTGGACTCTCAAAGAGCTTAATCCCTTTCATAGAATACTGCATAATCTCTGATTACTAAATTTTGAAGTATTTGACTTGAAGATATTAAATTTGAACCACTCATAGCTCATTGTACAATTGCCAGAAACTTGGCATTTTTATATTAATGTCATAATTTGTATAAAACTAAATACTTAATGTTCCTGAATACTTAAAGCACAGTAAAATGGAAACCTTTAATACAGATGCTAATTTTATTTCTTTATTTTTTAAATAGTCTTGGCTACTTATGATTCAGCAGACGGAACAGCTTAGTAGAATAATGAAGACACATGCAGAGGACCTAAATTCTGGACCCTTACACAGGCTCACTATGATGATCAAAGACAAGCAGCAGGTGAAGAAGAGTTTTATAGGTGTTCATCAGCAGATAGAAGCAGAGATGATCAAGGTCAGTCTTTCTACTCTGGAATTCTTTTGTTAATGTGATTTTTAAATTCACTGAAATATTTTATCTTGTTTGACTTTAAAAATTATTCATCATTTTATAATGAGAAATAGGTTTTGGTGTCTCTAGTAAGTAATATTTTATTCTTATTGAATATAAAACACAATTGATTATAAGATGTACTGTTACTTTATGTACTCCTCTGAAAGAAAAAGAATGCTGCCAATCAAACTATGATACAGTGCTTTCTTATCACTTAGAATTTTTATTTTTTACTTACTGAAATAGCTCTTTTAGGTTTTATTATTTTTATTTTTAGTATGCATATAAAAAATATAGACAAAGTAAATGAAGATATTTTTAAATTTTCTTTACAGTGAGAGTTTGTCCCTTCTGGATAACTTTTTACAATGTTTTTCATTATGAAAATTTCAAATGTACAAAAGAAGAGAGAATAATAAAACAAACTCCTATTGACTGATCCACCCGCATAGTCAAGGTTTTTTTTTTTTTTTTTAATCTATACTCACCTACCTTTTCTAATACACTGGATCATTTTAAAGAAAATTCCAGGTATCATTTTATCCATAAATATTTTAGTATATATTGCTGAAATAAATACTCTTTTGAAAAAACTTAACCATATTATGATTAACCCACCTAAAAATAACAGTAATTCCTTAGGGTTATTAAATATCCTGACTGTGCTCAAATGACTGTTGTTTAAATGTTTTTTACAGTTGGTTCATTTGAATCATGACCCAAACATGGCTCACACATTATATTTGAATAATTTTCTTTTAATCTGTAGGTACCTCCCCCCAACCTTTTTAAAATGCCATTTATTTGTGGAAGAAACTGGGTAATTTACTCTATGGAATTGAATTTCTTTAATTTTTTATTTTATTTATTGTTATTCTTGCTGTTTTTGGGGGGCAAAAATATATCATAGGTACTGGTATAGACTTCCTATTTTTTTCATATCTGAGCTATCTGATGTCTTCTTGTTTATCTTTTGTGCTGTTAAACTTGACTAATAGGTTCTAGTGCTGCCAGACTGATCAACCTATTGATAAAGTTTCCCTTCAGCCATTCACCAATAGTTTTAGAAACAATTGATGTTTGTTGCTTAGATCCATTATTTTAGTAGGGGTTATAAAATGGCAGCATTTTACTTCTATCATTCCTAATGTGATTGTTAACTGTAATTTTTCAATAAAAAGTTTTCTTACATCAACTTTTTGGCTACCCTGAGGTATAGTTCATAAACAACAAACAGGATAAATGCTTGCTTTTTACAATTAATTAACCAGTTTGGAGAACAATGAATTGGTTCTTTAACAACTTCAAAAGTTAAGACTTCCAGTTTCCAGTCTGGCATGTAAGAAGTTTGGGTGTTGTCACACCATCCTAACAAAGAGTTAAAATTTGAATACATTGAAAAATCAACAGCTCTTCTTAGATCCTTAAGAGAAGTGAGGTGACAGAGCCATCGGCTCCCCCTAAAATTGGAGAGACATACAAGTGAATACAGAGAATCACAATTTACCAGAGCAAAAACCTCTTTGGGAAGCAGTGCTGTGTATAGGAACACCTGAACTGTAACTGACAAGTTCTGGATGCTCAGTGTGGACAATTTTGACTGTTAAAAACTCCAGGAGGAGCCATTTATTGAGGGGCCTCCGCACTTTTGTGAGTTTTACCTCCCAGACCTCTACCAGGTTCTCACAGTGAATATTGGAAAAAAATCTCATGCTCCAGCAGGGGGAGGGGAAAAGGAACCATTTTGATATATGCCAAAGCATTCTGTCCTTAATAAAGTGTGCTCTCAGGAGAAACTGTTTATCCTTAACCTAATTAATCTGGGGGAAGGAAAATTCATAACTCCTGCTTTCTCTGAGTGGGGAGTGGGATACTCAGCTGAATAGCACATGTGAAGTTCATAGCCAGAGGCACAGATTTAATAAAAGACTGAGACCTAAACATAGGGTATAAAATGCTTCCCCTTTTCTGACAGCTTATCACCACATTAGTAGAGGCCTATTTAATCAGTTTCTTTCACCTGGTACATCCTGCCTAGCAATCAAGAAAAAAATAATAAGGGAGAGCAAAAGGCAAAAATACACAATTGGAAGAGACAGAACAAGCATCAGACCCAGACACAGTAGGGGTGTTGGAATTATCAGACCAGGAATTTATAACAACTATGTATAATATGCTAAGGGCTCCAATGGGTAAAGTAAAAAGCATGAAAGAACAGTGGGTAATGTAAGCATAAAGATGGAAATCCTAAGAAAGAAACAAAAGGCATTCTAGCATTCTAGAGAGCAAAAATACTGTAACAGAAGTGAAGAATGACTTTGATGGGCTTAATAAGAGAATGGGCACAATTAAAGAAAGAATCTCTGAAATTGAGAATATATCAATAGAAATTTACAAAACTTGAAAAGCAGAGAATAAGGACTGAAAAAAAAAAAAGGGGACAGAATTAACCAAGAACTGTGGGGTAACTACAAAAGGTGTAACATATGTATAATGGGAATACCTGAAGGAGAAGAAAGAGAGAAAGGAACAGAAGAGATATTTGAAATGATAATGACTGTGAATTTCCCTAAGTTAATGTCAGACACCAAACAGCAGATCCAGGAAGTTCAGAGAACATCAAGCAGAATAAATGACCAAAAAACTACCCTTCAGCATATCAATTTCACACTACAGATAATCAAAAATAAAGAAAAAATCCTGAAAGAAGCCTGAGTAAAAAAGCACCTTACCTATAGAAGAACAAATATAAGAATTACATCTAACTTCTCCTCAGAATTAAGTAGGCAAGAAGGAAGTCGAATGAAATATTTAAGTGTTGAGAGAAAAAACCCACAATCCTAGAATTCTATACCTTGTGAAATTATCCTTCAAAAGTGAAATAAAGACTTTCTTAGACAAACAGAAATTGAGGAAACTTGTAGCCAGTGGATTGAGAAGGAAAATGATATAGGTCAGAAACTCAGATCTACGTAAAGAAAGAAAGAGCATTAGGGAGGGGCGCCTGGGTGGCTCAGTCAGTTAAGCAGCTGCCTTTGGCTCAGGTCATGATCCCAGGGTCCTGGGATCGAGTCCCACATCGGGCTCCCTGCTCGGCGGGAAGCCTGCTTCTCCCTCTCCCTTTGCCTGCTGCTCCCCCTTCTTGTGCTTTCTCTCTCTCTGATAAATAAAATCTTAAGAAAATAAAAGACCATTAGGGAAAGAATGTGAAGATAAAATAAAAACTTATTTTTCTCATTCTTGATCTAACGGGTAACAGTTTATTGAAAATAATAATAGCAACAATAAAATTCAGTTATGTACAGTCATGTATCTTGGGTGTGTATGTGTGTATACATACATATATAAGTTTATGTATGCTTATATATAAGTGAAATGAATGACAGCAATGATATACGGGATAGAAAGGAGGTATTAGGATTATATTGTTATTGTAAGGTACTCATACTACCTGTGAAGTGGTATAGTGTTCTTTGAAAATAGGCTTGCATTAGTTATAAATACATATTGTGAACTCCAGGGCACGTACTAAAAAAAGTTAAAAAAGAAATAATAACTGATATATAAGAAATGAGAGAGAATGGAATTGTATAAAATATCAAAACCATAGAAGAATAGTGGAAGACAAAAATAGGAACAAATAACAAAGGTAACAAATAGGAAACTAACAAATATGATTGCCATTAACCCAGGTATTTAGGTAAGTTATTTGAAAGTCAGTGGTCTAAATGAGCCAATTAAAGGACAGAGATTGTCAGAGTAGATTTACAAACAAGACCCAACTATATTTTATCTACAAGAAACCCATTTTAAATATTAAGACACATATAGATTGATAGTAAATGGATGGAGAAAGATATGTTATACTAACCCTAATCAAAGGAAAGTAGGAGTGGCTATATTAATTTCAGACAGAGCAGTCTTCAAAGCAAGGAAACCTATTGGGGATAAAGAGGGGAATTACATAATGATAAAGGGGTTAGTTCTCCAAGAAGACATAACAATCCTTAACTTGTATATGCCCAACAACATAATGTCAAAATACTGAAGGAGCTGTAAAAACTGATAGAATTGCAAGAAGAAATAGATGAATACTCCATTACAGTTGGAGACTTAACATCCCCCCATCAGAAATGAACAAACCCAGCAGGCAGAAAATCAGTAAGGACATAGGTGAACTTAATAGTACCACTAATCAATTAGATGCAGTGAACATTTACAGACTATTTCATTGAATAACAGCAGAATCATATTCTTCTGAAGCTTACATGGAAGATTCAACAGATAGACCACATTCTAGACCATAAATCATACCTTAATAAATTTAGAAGAATAAAAATCATCCAGTATCTGCTCTTAGACCACAATGGAATTAAACTAGAAATCAGTAATAGAAAGATAGCGGGATCATAGTGTACTTCTGTTTTCAACTGTTTGAGAAACCTCCATACTGTTTTCCAGAGTAGCGGCAGCAATTTGCACTCCAACCAACAGTGTAAGAGGGTTCCTCTTTCTCTGCATCCTCGCCAGCACCTGTTGTTTCCTGTTAATTTTAGCATTTGTGACTGGTGGAGGTGATATCTCATTGTAGTTTCGGTTTTCATTTCCCTGATGATGAGTGATGTTGAGCATCTTTTCATATGTCTGTTGGCCATCTAGATGTCTTCTTTGGAAAAGATTAAACAAAATACTTCTAAGTGGCACATGGATCAAAGAAGAAATCTCAAGAGAAATTAAAAAATATTTTGAACTAAATGAAAATGAAAATAAAACCCATCAAAATTTGTAGGTTGCAAAAGCAGTGCTTAGATGAAAATTTATAGCATGAATGTATGTTAGGAAAGAAAAAAGATCTAAAATCAATCCTCTAAACTTCTACCTTAGGGCATTAGAAAAAAAAGAAAGAGCAAATTGAATCCAAAGTAAGCAGAAGAAACGAAATGATACAAATTAGAGTGGAATTAGTTAAAGTGAAAACATAAAACCAATAGGAAAATCAACAAAACCAAAAGCTGGTTCTTTGAAAAGATCAATAAAATCATTAAGTTTGTAGCCAGGTTAACTAATAAAAACAATGTGGGCACAAATTACTAATATCAGGAGTGAAAGAGGGGACATCAACTACATAGTCCATATTAAAAGGGTAATGAAGGAATACTGTGAACAACTCTGTACCCACAAATTTGATTTCATACAAGAAATTTGGCAATTCTATGGAAGACACAGTCTGCTAAAAACTCACACAAGAAGAGATAGACGATCTGAATAGGCATATATCTATTAAAGTCATTGAATCAATAACTAATAACCTTCCAAAACAGAAAGCACCAGGCTCAGATAGTGAATTTTATCAAACATTTAAGGAAGGAATCATACCAATTCTCTATGAACTCTTTCAGAAAAAGAAACTGAGGGATACTTCCTAACTAATCCAAGAGACCACCATTACCAAACCAGGCAAAGATATTAGAAGAAAAGAAAACTACAGTATCTCTCATGAGCATAGGTGCAAAAATCCGCTGGTACAACATTTGAAAATCAATTAATGCAGTCCATTACATGAACAGATTAAAAAAGAAAAATCACATAAGCATGCAAATAGATGCAGAAAAATCACTTGACATGCAGAAAAATCACTTGACAAAATTTTACAAAACCAGTACACATTCATGATAAAAACTCTCAGTAATCTAGGAAAAGAGGAAACCTTCCTCAACTTGATAAAGAATATCTACAGAAAAGGTACAGCTAACATATAAGTAATGGTAAGAAACTTGAAACTTTCCCACTAAGATCAGAAGCAAGTCAAGGATGTTTCCTCTTACTGTTGCTTGTTAACATCATGCTGGAAACCTTAGCCAATGCAACAAGACAAGAAAAAGAAATATATACAGACTGGGAACAATGAAATAAATCTGTCTTTGTTCACAGATGACATGACTGTCTATGTAGAAAATCCAAGAAAATCAACAAAAAAACTTGGAATTAGTAAGTGATTATAGCAAGGTTACAGGATACAATGTTACCATACAAAAGTCAGTGACTTTCCTATACATCAACAATAAGCAAGTGGAATATGAAATTAAAAGCACAATACCGTTTTCATTAGCACCTCCAAAAATGAAATACTTAGGTATAAATCTAACAACATATATACAAAATCTATAGGAGAACAACTGAATTCCAATGAGAGAATTCATAGAAGAAATAATTGGGAGACATATCCCATGGTTGTCGATGAGAAGACTCAATATTGTCAAGATGTCAGTTGTTCCCAGCTTGCTCTTTAGATTTAACACAATCCCAATCAAAGTCCCCAGTAAGTTATTTTGTGGATATTGAAAAACTGATTCTAAAGTTTATATGAAGAGGCAAAAGCCCCACACTGGTCAACAGAATATTAATATGGAATATTATTTAATGCTCAAATAAAGGAGCTATCAAGCCACAAAAAGACCCAGAGGAAACTTACATGCATATTACTAAGTGAAAGAAGCCAATCTAAAAAGTTACATACTATGTGATTCTAACTATATGATATTCTGGATAACACAAACTATGGAGACAATAGAAAGATCAGTGGTTGCCAGGGGTTAAGGGAGTAATTTAAAATTTGTTCTTTATTTTTTTTTTGACAGGTTACAAAGACAGAATTAGAGAAATTAAAATCCAGCTATAGACAGTTAATAAAAGAAATGAATTCTGCCAAAGAGAAATATAAAGAAGCTTTAGCTAAAGGTATGAAAAATTGTTTATTTTAGTGATTTTTATTCTCATCATTTGAAGGTTGTCTTTATGAGTAGCAGAATGATTCCACTTAGACCAATTCACATTTTAAAAATATCAAAATATGCCAAAATAGGATAATTGTCAAATTATTTAATAAGTCTTTTTATTTTTTTGTTTTTTTAAAATGATGTAAAATATTTTTGAGTAGTTCATACTACATGGAATTACATAGCACTGGTAATAGAATGCAAAGAATGTTTAAAATTTTCTCTCCAGCATCAGATTTATTATTTAATTACTGAATACTGAATAAGAAAAATAAGGTTGTGTTTGTTTAGATACCTTTTTTAGTCTTCTTTTTACCTGTGGTATTTAAAAGCCACTAATAGACAAGATTATTTTATAGCATTATTTTGCTTTCATAGCTTAATTTTATGTGCCTATATTGTCCTAACATTTTCATAAATGGAAGTAAATAGAAAGAGAAACATTATTTATATTTTAAACAAGTGTTTATGGTTATGAGTTTTTAAATGTGAGTAAACAGTCTTCATATTTAAATTTTTTTAATTATAAAAGTTGGAGGTTTTAAAAAAAAATTCTTCCTGTCTAAATATAAGCTTTATTAGCAGCTCTGTCTTCTTTTTCTCAACATATTTTCTCTTGGTCTTTTACTTGTTGTGTATATATTCTTATTTTCCTGAGGTAAATGAAATAAATAGCTCTACATTTGAATATGTCTTGCACAATGAAAATACTATGTTTTTGTTGTTAATCCCAGTAGACTAAAAGAGATCCTGATTTGGATGCATTTCTTCCTCCTTCCCTTTCTTACTTCTTTCCTTTGTCTCCCTGCTCTTCCTCCTCTGGCTGCTCTCTGCTTGCTTCCTCCCTTTCCTTCTCTCTGTCCTTCCCCTTTCTCTTGCTTTCTCTCTGCTCCCCGTTTTCCTGCCAACACTTTGTTTCCCTCTGTTCCTGTCCCCACCCCTCACACATTTACCTCATGTTTCTGCTTTTTGCAGTGTTTCTACTACTTTTTTAGGGAAGATGAAGCTGTGTTTAAAGTTTTCTTATTTCTGCTTATTTTTCATGGACCTCAACCAGTATTTTGAGATCATGATCTCTTTATTAGTATAAACATATCTTTTAAAATACTTTTGTAATTCAATTATCTTAAATTATTTAAGTGATAAAACCAAAGAATGGCATTGTGTAAAGATCATATACATACATATACATACTTTGGAGTCAGATAGTATTGGATGTAAGTTCCAACACTGTATGATTATTTCATAGATTTTCAAATTTCATTTATCTAATTTTAATTCCTTTATTATTTTAAAGAGAGCTTTATATAATCTAGAAATATTTACTGAGCATTTGCTGTCTTTAAGTTATTGAAATTCAAGCAGTATTTCCAAGGCATTCAAGAAGCTTACCCATTTCTAGTTGATATTCTAATTTATGAACTACAAGTCTTATCCTCTTTCAAAGTTCAGTTTATGTCAAGAGATCCCTTGCTTAATCAAGAGTAGTTTAGAAGTAGTTTTGCATGTTAAGCATTACTACTTAATCTGTCAAAATAGTTAATTTTATAAAGTCTGTTACTTAATGCATGGGTAGCATTCTCAAATTAGTGCCCTATATTAAAAATATCCACCCAGAGCAATTGATGACTTAATCCAACTGTATTGTAATTCAGGTATGCTAAGTATTTCACTCTAGATCTGTATCTGTTGGAGAATGATTAGTTAAAAAAAAGAAATAGATATTTACTCCCTAGTCTTTGATATCCATTTTTTAATGATAGTTTATTTTGCCTTAATAAATGAAATCTAATTCTGATGTCATAGTAAAATTTTAAATAGTCCTTGTACCTAGTGCTTATATTATCAAATATTTTTCACAGATAACAGTTGTTCTTTATTGTTTTTTTATTACTTTTAATCTAGATAAAATACTATTTAGTGTTGTATTAATAGTAGGAAGGCAACTAGAAAATTTGAAGATTCTAGTTTTTTTTTTTTTTTAAGATTTTATTTATTTATTTGACAGAGAGAGACACAGCTAGAGAGGGAACACAGCAGGGGGAGTGGGAGAGGGAGAAGCAGGCTTCCTGCGAAGCAGGGAGCCCGATGTGGGGCTCGATCCCAGGACCCTGGGATCATGACCTGAGCCGAAGGCAGATGCTTAATGACCGAGCCACCCAGGTGCCCCTGAAGATTGTAGTTTTAATTGGTCCCAAGAAGTGTTATTATTTGGCTGAATCTCATGAATTTATTTACATTCTCCTTCTGAAAGGAGAATTAGTGATAATATTTTCCTATTTTCAAAAATTTGATTGCTGCCATTAAGTCCATTTATAACCTATAGAATACATATTTTTAAAATAAGTTCTTATATGATTGTGTTCGATACTTGACACATACGTAAATTTATCTTTTTATAATCAAAACTATCATGTTTTGTGAAAAAGTATAAAATTATATTTTTGAACACTTTGTTTCTGTTATCAAACTACTTTTCGTGTTTAATGTGGAAATAGGGTTTCTATTGTGAAGTTATTTACTCTATAAGGATAGCAAAATTTCCGACATTTGCAGACTTTATGTCAGAACCTTAGTTCATCTGTATAGGCCAGACCAGGGTAGTTCTGGAATGGTTTCTAGGGACTGCTGGGCACTGACAGTGAATACCCTGGCTGTGGTTCTAGCAACCATAGATATTAGGAGGTCTTAAGACCCAAGTCTGACATATAGCTTCCAGTTAGAGAAGATGAGCCTTTAGGGGACACAAGGCTTTGGGGGGAAACAAGGCCTGAAAATAATTCCTGTAGCAAGGGTTAAATTCTGGATTTGAGAATGGGTTGGGAGTTAAGAACTCAGTTACTGCAACTGGAGGTTTAGCACTTACAGTTGATCAGGAGGAAGGCTGGGTTAATGCTTAAATTCCAAATTCCTGACCCCTGCTGTGTGGATTACACAAAATACTTTAAATTTTGAATATTAAAGTTTTTATCCAAAGGAACATTAGTTTATGTTGTCTAATGTAAAATATAAGAGTAATTTGCAACATGAATGTAGCATTTTAATTAATTTTTTTGTAATATATCTTAAGTATTAAACATGTTTTGCTCTGTGCTGAGAAAGCAAGTATTTGTCTTAAATTGACTTGGACTAATTTGAACATTAGTCTATTGATTATTATTTATAACATGTAAACTGAGAACAACCAAAATAATTTTAGTTAACCCTATCGAACTGAAGTTAATAATTCAGAGTGTTTGTTGATAACAGCATAGAATAATGAGTTCTTGAATACAAAATACACAGGTTTTACTTTTCTATTGCAGATTAAATTCTGAATACTTTAAGTTGGTTGAACACCTGTTTAGGTTTAGCCATAAAACAGTTTTGTGAATCTATAAAGCTTGTATCTGAACTAAGGTTTTGACGTAATGCCTATAAATGTTGGCAAAATTTTCTATCACATTTATCCATATAAAAAGTAAATGACTTCACAAAGGAACTCTTGCACAATCATGTTGTCTATGAATAAAGAAAGTTTAACTTTCCCTTTCCAATCTGGATAGCTTTTTCTTGCCTAATTGCCCTAGCTAGAACCTCCAGTATAATGTTGAATAGAGGTAGAAAGAGCAAAGATAATTGTCTTGTTCCTGAACTTCGGGGAAAAGTAAAAATTAAGTATTAAGTTAGCTATAGTTTCAAAGTTTTTATCAAGTTGAAGTTCCTTTCTATTCCTGTTTTAGAGTAGATGTTGGATTTTGTCAAATTCTTTCTTTATGTCTATTGAGATAAATATTTTTTCTTCTTTTTGTTTGTATGAATTACTTTGATTGATTTTCACGTTTCAAGTATTACACCATCTCACATTCTTGGGATAAACTCCTTGGTTGTGATGCACTATTATTTTTTTATATTGTTGGATGTGGTGGGCTAAGTTTTTTCCATAATTTTTATCTATATCTTTTGTTTCTTGTATTTTTATCTCATTTTATTATAAAGATAATGCTATTCTGTGGATGGTTACTTCCTGTTCAACAAGAAAGATTTTTGTTCAATTGGTAATATTTCTTAAATATTGGTAGAATTCACTTGTGAGGCATCTGGGTCTGTTTTTATTTTTTCTTTTTGGCAAAGATTTTTAAACTATAAACTCAAGTTTTTGAATTGATGTAGACTCTTTAGTTTATCTGTTTCTTTTTGAGTTTTAATGGGTTGTATCCTTCAAGGAAATGTCCATTACACCTAAGTTGTTGAATTTATTGCTATTAAATTGTTCATAATATTTCCTTATTCACCTTTTTAATTTGTAGAATCTGTGGTGACTTCTCTTTCCCATTCTTGATAGTGGTGTTTTATGTCTTTTCTCTTTGTTCCTAATCATTCTGGCTAGAGGTTTATCAATTTTATTAATTTTCTCAAGGATCAGCTTTTGGCTTTATTGTTGTTTTTTTTTTTCCTATTTTTCTGCTTTCTATTTAATTGGTTTATGCTCTAATCTTTATTATTTCTTTCCTTCTGCTTGTTTTAGGCTTAGTTTGCACCATTTAAAAAAATTTTAAATGTTCTTAATATGGAAGCTAAAATCATTGATTTGAGAACTGTTATTTTTCTACAGGCATTTTGTGCTATAAATTTCCCTAAGTACTGTTTTAGCAACATTCCAAAAATTTTCATACACCATCTTCATTTTCATTCAATTAAAAATACTTTCTAATTTCCTTTTTGTTTTTTCTTTGATCTATAGGTTATTTAAAAGTATGTGGGTTACTTTTCTAAACTTCTGGCATTTTTCTAGAGATGTTTATATTTTTTATTTATAATTTAATTCCATTTTGATCTGAGGATATTTATGACTTCATTTCTTTAAATTTATGTGTATGTGTTATTTGGCCCACAGTATGGTCTGTTTTGATAAATGCTTCATATGCACTTGATAAGAATGTGTATTCTCCTGCTGTTGGTTGGAGTGGTCTATATTGTCAG